GTTACAAAAGTTCCTTAAAAAAACTTGGATTATGCTGTCGATCACGTAAACAAATCCTGAGAGGTTTTAAGTTCTGGAAAAAGTGTACCAAAATAAAAAACGTCTTTATTTTGAACGACTGCAGCTGTTTGCCGGATGATACACGAACATTGATAAGTTGCGTTCGACCAGTCTATTTTTAAATAGTCCTTAGCAATACTGATTGATTACAAAGAACAATTATTTTAAACCTAATGGATTATTATTCTGCATATTTGTACCTTAGTTTGCAAAGGACTGAATGAAATATTTTGTACGACCTTGAAACAGAACGTAATTTTTATTGAAATAAAGTAAAATTTACTTAAGTCAGTTCATTTTTATCCTACAAATTGTCCAACAATACTAACCTAAACGTGCAATAAAAAAGATAGGATAAACTCACATTTTCTACCACAGAACAATCTTTAGCAGAGTTATAAAACAGACATAAAAAGTCTCGTTTCTAAAATACAGGGAGTTACAGTTTTTCGTTTTCTTTTTAATATCTCAGTTAAGAAACATTATTTTTTTTCTCAAATTTTGAATGATTGGACTATAGATTATAGGTCAAGTTTTAGTGTAAACTAAAATTTAATCACCTCATCAGAGCGTTCGTGTAGACCATAGTACCCCTTTTTTTAATAATATGCACGTTTCTACTGACATTTTTAATCTTATGAGTATTTTCTGTAATCGTCGTTCATCACCTAATAAAAGATCTCTGTTACGATTTTTTTAATTTCGGCCTTAGTTCTAAAGGATATTGCTATTTTATTAAAAATAATACAATCAATTGTTAAATTAATAAAACAAAAAATGTTTTCCTGAAAAAACACAAAATTAAAAATATGTATATGTAAATAGATTGTAATATGTATGTAGTATGAAAGCGTTTGCCTCATTTTTTAAGTTTATTGTTGTTAAGTTTATTATTGTTAGCATCACCCTTTGTTTTAAGTATTAAAGTATTATCGAGTTAATCCTTTCATTTATTCTTAATGACATTTATGCACTTTAAACAGTCAATTATTTTCCAACGACTACTTGATTCTTCCACCGCTAATGAGATTTTTAGGTGGTATTTCTTTTGAGAGGACGATAATAATTTTTGTATTTTGTACCACTCAGAAAAAAAAAACAAGAAAAGTGTTGCCTCATTACTTCTGATTTATTATACTTATTTCAAAAAGTAAAAATATTATATACTTACCTTCCTTTTTTCTAAATTTAAAAAGAGAAACGGAGAAAACTTTTACTAAAAAACAGCAAACGCGCTACTGAGCAGAACAAAATAGTTTCAGAGTAACTTCTGAAGAAGAGAGCGATATGTCTCTCGAAACGTCAAAAGTTGTAAATAGAACCAGAACAAAACAAAACTTAAAAAAATATGTTTGAATATTAGCTCTCATACTTTTTACTGTATTATAAAGGCTTTGTTTTTTTTTCAAATTTTAGCTCAACTTTCCAATCAAAACTACAAAGCCGTTTCCAGTCTCTCAATGCAGAGCCAACCCCGGCCAAAGCAGAGAAACATGTCCAAGGGGACAAAAATGACCTTCCGAGAGAAGTAGAAGGCGAGAAACGTAGGCGTCCCGTTTACTTCTTTGTTGGCGAGCAAGAGACGAGAGTCAAAGCATTGCAGGCAATATATAAAGAGTTCGGTAAAAACGCCGGTTCTCCCCACATTAGAGGTAATTCCCAAGAGAATGATGGAATTAGACGAACTGGCGCCCAACGTGTGGCCCGAATGTCCGAAACGCCAAAAAAGATGTACTGTACACAGAGTTACATCTTCTCGTGTAATTTCAAATACAACATCCACAAACCGCTAACAGCTACAGCTACTTATACATTCGTTTCAGCAGCGCGTAATGTTTTCCCGTGCGTAATCCGATTAGAAAAACTTGTGGATCCGCTGGCTTGGCACGAGCAAGCGGAGGAATCCTTTAGTGGGGAATTATCAAACGAACGTCATCGCTAATTTCGAATTCTGAAATATAGTCGTCGTCGAGAGTGTAAATCCGTTATTGTCTGTCGCACCATAAAAGACAAAACCATCTCGTGGTCTATCACGACATCAGTTTTGTGCCGCTTATTTGTTCTGGTTTACGACTGTTTGCTCGGTTAATAATTAATTGTTAATAGGCCGGTGACAGGGCCGTACGCGACACAATTTTTGGCCCGCCGATCATCGTTAATGAAAAAAAAAAAACTAAGGTATGGAAATGGATTCTTCGATGACAACAAAACTAATTAAATGCCTATCTGACATCTAAAAATATTATAATATAGTAGGAAAGGAATATTTTCAAATTTTGTAAAGAATAAATAACATGTAATTGCTGTTGGTCCCTAAGAAGCGCTCTGCTACCATACCCGTTAAAAATCTGTCTTTGTAGAAGCATTGAGTAAAGTTTCAACAAAAAAAAGACTTAGTCCGTTACTGGTCAATTATAACAGTTCAGACGTGTCCAATAGCTAAAGCCGTATCGTATAGAGGCTTTAGTCGTTTTTAGTCGCTTTAGAATTCAAATAGAAATTAAGGAAATTGCTTTATTATTTTATACTATGTGATTTCCCTTCAATTGTCGTTTCTTTGCAACAGATAAAGAACAAAGCTAAATACTAATACTAATCGTTTTATTAACAAATAATAATTTTAAAATTGAGACTATAAATCAATAAATATACAAATAACCTAACCTAAGACTTCCAATTGCTGATATATAATTTTAAAAGGAATTGAGAGAAAATGACAAATATTTTTTTGTATAAAAAAAACAATTATAATCACGTTGAAAGCTTTTGCCACCGTCGTTTCTAATGTAGAAATAAAAATATCCCTTAATAGTAGGTATTTTTTACGTGATTAGTCTTTGTAGGGGTAATAATAGAGCAGCAAGAATACAGGATGAGTTTTAATGCTTGTTTTTAACACCCCAATACAGGGTGTCCCGAAATTCATGCACAAAATTTGGTCACGGATTCTGAAGACAAATTTAGGGGACTCTAATTTTTCGTGGGCCCTTTGGAGGCAAAAAAATTTGGTCGCATATTTAAATTTCTTAAAAATTATCAGTCCACTAGAAAGCCATTAAATTTAGAAACTTTTTGTCTCTATACTTTTTTCGTAAAACGCAATGTTTTCGAAAAAAATGTCAAAATGTGATCGAATGCATATCGTGATTCCCCATTTTCCTCAAAAACATTGCGTTGTACGAAACAAATATCTAGAGACAAAAAAGTTTCTAAATTCAATGGCTTTCACGCTAGCTAATAGTTAAAAAAAAATCTTATTTGCGACCAAATTTTTCTGGTTCCAAAGACAAGGGAGCCCACGAAAAAGTGTCTTTAAGGGGGTTCCTTGCCAAAAAGCGTGGCACGTCATAAAACTCCTGTGTACCAAATTTAGTGATTCTCGTACACATGGTTTTGAGATATAAAAAAGACTTCTTAGGGGCAGATATCAAGGGGCTGTAACTCCGAAAGAGGGGGCCAGTTGGCAAAAAGAAAATATACGAGTCCCCTAAACTTATCTTAAGAATCTATGACCAAATTTTGGGACACCCTGTATACTCCAGATTTTAAAACTCGACTCATATTAATGAACATAAAAAAGTATTTAAGATAACTCTCACACTCTGACAAAAAAAATATAGTCGTCGATTTCAAGTGTAGGAATACAAAAACTACAGCCTAGTCATTTTTGTCTGTTGAAGAATTTTTAATTTTAAGTTGATAAATATCGCTTTTGTATAAAAAACCAACGCAAGGGAATAAAAAAACCGTTCCGGAATACAGAAACAACTTCAATGTTTTTTGTATGTTTGTTCTGCCGTTGCTCATGTACTACAGAAGGTCGCTGCTAGCTACAGACTTTCTTTACTCTTGGCTGGAAATCTTTGATCTGCTTATATCTGAATCTGAAATTTTATTAGTTTCCAAAAAAATTTAAAAAAATTATGACATCTGGGTCAGATAAATTACCCTCATTCATTATAAAAGATTGTATATCTGTGTTCGTTGTTCCTTTAAAAATATTATTTAACTTATGTCTTAAGACAGATATATTTCCACTTGATTGGAAACAAGCAAAGGTCTGCCCAATTTTTAAGAATTGTTTTTAAGAACAAAGCGAATATTGAATATTATCGTCCTATATCCATCCTTTCCAATTTTTCTAAAATTTTTGAAATTATACTTTATAATCGTATATACAATGTTATTTGGAGTCAGTTAGTGGTGGAACAGTTTTATGATGAACAGGTCCACTGTTACAAATTTGATAGTATTTACTCAATTTGTATCTGATAGTTTAGATAAAGGCGGTCAAGTGAACACTATTTATACAGATTTTGCAAAAGCATTTGACAGACTTGATCACCAAATCCTTTTAAAGTAACTTGTCGAATTTGGCTTTAACAGCAACGCGTTATCACTATTTAATTCATACTTAAATAATAGAGTCCAATTTGTTTCATATAATGGGTTTGTATCACCCAATTACTTTGCAATTTCAGGAGTCCCTCAGGGCTCAAACGTAGGGCCTTTATTATTTCTAATTTTTATTAACGACATTTGTTAAGTAGTTGACGGTAATAAACTGATGATATGAAAATCTTTACATCACTAAAACTACGCCTTTAATGTCGATCGGTGAAAAATATTTTTATCTATGATCCCAAATTTTCAAAATTATTTTGAACAGCACAACCAAAAATTTTTGCATTGTTTTAAAGCAAATAAAAATAACCTTCAAAAACGAATACGACTTTTTATACTATTATCGAGATATTGGAAAACCTAATTGTATCTAATTAACATAATCTAGCAGCTACAGCAAAAACCGAAAAGCTCCTCGTTATCCTCAGACAGTATTTATCCAGCCTCCGGGTATCTAATCAGGAGATAAAGCCGATTCGGTGGGGGAATTAGAGATATTAAATTAATATAAAATAATGAATATCGCATCTGGCGACCAGCAGTTCTGTTCAATCAAAAAATGTTCGCACCTCTCTTTCTACTTGCCCTTTGCACGACGTCGGCCTTCGCAAGACCCGAAGGACTCGGTAAGCAAAAAAAATTGTCCTGCGACTTTGCCAAGTGTTTTTAACTGTTACTCTAAGGGTGAGGCTTGGGCTTTGTAATAGTTTTTGTACGCTTTGAATTAATTTCGAACGATATTTATTAATTTTTTTAAGGAATTTGGGGACTTACTTGCTATTCTATATAAATATTCATAAACCACTGGGATAAAAATGATTTATTGTGCTAGTGGTGATAGTAAATTCACTTCTTTGTTTTTTTTAAGTATGGCATTACAAAGTTTTTGATATCCATGTATTTGTTATGAAAATGTTATAAACTATGACATAAAAATATAAAAACGATGCTGAGGCGTATAAAATGTTTAAAATTCATAGAACAATGAGCTCACGTAAGCCTTGTTACAGATAAATTTGACCACACGATCAATATTCTACCGTCACGTTTTTTTTTTCTATTGGCGTTACTTATTATTTAAAACCTAAATGATAAACTAATCCTTATTATAAATTTTATTTACTTAGTTAACATTTATTAATTACTTATCAAGTTATTGAATAGAACATTTGAATGTTTTAATAATCCTTTTATTTAATAAAATTAATGCAGATTTAAGCTAGCTTCTAATTCCTTTATCTTGTAATCCGATCTAAAAATCTGCAGATTTAGATTAATTTGTGAATTATTTGAAAACTAGTTATTTTTTATAAAAATTAATTAGATTTCACGTTAATACCAATTTTTATATTATATGGATCAATTCCTAATATTCCCCATAAATATTTTCGCTGTTATCAAGATGTGGTATGATAAATATAATTTCAAAAGTATATACCTATTTTATTAGTAACTTTTCTATTTTTTACTACCTATATTATAAAGCTAGCTGAAACAAATTTAAAAGTCATATTAAAGAAATCAAACAGTATTCCTTAAAGCCAAAAACCTAAAATTCCTAACTATTCATCTGTAAGCTCTGCTGAAGGTGACAACAATTTATTTGCGATTGAAATTTTATTTTATATAGAATTTTCTATTTATGTCTCCGCTACCGTATTAGGACGCCACCTCCATGGCATTTAATGGTGGTAATATCGGCCCCTGCATTGGCTAATAGAGTGGCGGAAGAACGTGTCCTAAAGCAGTGCCCTCTATAACTTTCCGGATGAGGCAAATTGAGATAAGTTGCTATTTCTTTTGGCACATTCCTTATTTTGTTGACGCCAACAACTTGATTAACACATTTTTCCCTGACATACTTCACAAAAAATCTTCGACTTGTAGTAACTGCCAGACGTAAAGCAAGTATTTGCGGTATATCTTCATTTGGTGTGGATTTGAAATCACAAAACATCTCGGAGTACGAGTTTTGGAATAGGGAATTCTTATTGTAATAATTGAATCTCTGTCTTCTGTATCATCGATCTTCAGTAGATCATCTGTTCTCAAAGCTCCAGAAACACCAATTATTAAAATGACTTGAAAAGTTTTCCAACATTAGTTAAATTGATAGATTTATATTAATTTGAATTGCCTTTTCTAGCAGAAATCTATTGTAAGGTGTTTCTTGTAAAAATTTCTCAATTCAAATCCTCATCCGTTAGACTAGACTTTTTCGGACGGTATCCAACTGATTTGCTTTTCAAATATGGTATTAGTTTTGTAAATTTTCTGACATTTATATATTTTTTTTGGCATTCAATGTACTTTTTAACATGGAATACACTGACCATACCGTCGAAAGTTAATTTTATTAATTTTTTGTTCAAATATATGTATACTCTCTCCAAATTGCAGCTCTTAATATTAATAATTAAGGTCACTGCGATTAAATAAAATAAAAATTATCTCAGCTTCTAATCAACTTAGAACAACGATTTTTTTTTAAATTCGAAGAAAAATAGTACTAACTAAACTATAGAGGTTACTATTTTATTTTATAATAATTACTTATCTTAACAATTTAATAAATATTAACATTTTTTCAGTCATTTTTAAACAAATTAAATTTGAAAAATTAAATTCTCAGTAAATGCATATGTCAATACAACTATTTAGAGGTACAAAAACAACTAATGATCGAATCTCTACAACGCCTGTGAGCTTGGAAAAAATGAACTGAAAATAGCATTTTCTTAGATAACAAATTCAGCCAATGACAAACCAATGAAGCATTCGGGCTGAAATTTTTACCATTTATTAATGGTGTAAAAAGCCTCAAAAATCCTGAATTACAAGTGTCTGCGATGAAAATTGCATTAATTATTAGCAATTGAAAAAAACGGCCATTTTCGACCATTTTTGAGCTCATGCGGATAAACAAATTATCGGAATTTAATCGGACTTGTCTCATTTTATAGGCTTATTTAACACTTACCTTTTTTGTATAAACTTTTTTTCGCTATGAATAATAGGTTTTTTACGTGGGTAAAAAAACACTTTTCCATAACTTTGACCACTGCTTAAACAAAGTTTCCCAACTAGTCTCGAGTTGATTTTTTGATATTTTGTTTATAACAATACTCCACAGAGAAACTTCTAATACTATTTTTTTCCCCGAGACAAGCTGTTTCATGTCTATAATGACTGGGCTATTAGTAAATGCTCGTCTTCACTTTCCGAGCTCATTTTGAATTAAACACTCTTAAAATATGAATTACAGTATATAATTCAAACGATTTAAAATATAAATAAAATTGTTGTATATGTATAACACAACTGTCTTATTTTATTGTAATTTTCGAAAAAATATTGTTTGCATCTCGAACGCGAAATACTTTTGCGTTCTCGAATGGATATTTATTTTACATATTTTACAATTCTTTTCTTGCTGTATATTTTTCCTTAACTTTTATTAAAATTCCGCATAATTTACAATTTCTTAGTGAAATACGCAATTAAGATACTTAAATCTGATTTTATCATTACTATATATTCATCTCAGTCGCCTGGTGTTTGCCCATCTTACTAACAGCAAATAAGTGCACATGCTTTTATGTACAAATAATTAATAAATTCCCTGAATGATAAATACAAAGCATCGTAAATAGTACACTTGGCTTAATATTTACCTGCCGTATACTTGATTGATAACCTCCTTGTGGCGGTAAATAACTGTGGAGGCCGGTGTTTCGATATAGTATACCCGTCGATGCATGTCGATTTAAAAATAGCCGTCATTGAACGGAACCTTGTGCGAAAAAATGTCATAATCCAGGTGGTCTTGACCCGAATCACACAAACTGGAGCTCCTTATCATAAATTTAGTTTTTTAGAGTATACAGTGTGTCTCGCGCTCTTGTAAACTTGTTTACTTTTTTACAATTTCTCTCTGCTTTAAGTAAGATAGTTAAAAATTGAGGCGTCTTTTTATTCGCAAAATGTGATCATTGTTCTTTCCTAACTAAACCCCATATTTAAGGATTTCTTGAATTCTCGAACAACTGTGTTAAATACGTTTTTAACGACGCCCTGTATATTTTATTACAAATATGATTACTGCCCATGGCTTTCCAAGACACATAAAACTTTTAATCAAGAATAACTTTTGCTCGAAAAATCGACAATAAAAAAGTTTACAAGAGTGCGGTGCCTCATCCGGGAACACACTGTATATTACTTTCAACAACATTTCAAGGAATTAATGAGAAGGTAATTCCTTAAAGTCCGTTGCTTCTACAGTGTAGGAAAGTACCGATGGTCTATCAGAAGTTACGTGAGAGCGATAAAGTAAGCCATAAAAATCCATGTGATAGACAAGGATGGCTATAATGAAGGCGTCTAATAGTCAACGCCCATTTCGCCCTTCCACAAATAAGAAATGGATCTTATTTGTGGAAGGGCGAAACGGGTGGTGACTATGAGAGGCTTTCATTATAGTCATCCTTCTCTATCGCATGGATTTCTATGGCTTACTTTATCGCTCTCACGTAACTTCAGATAGACCATCGGTACTTTCCTACCCTGTATATTGCAGTATAATTTCTCTTATAAACGAATTGAAATATATCCATGACTTTTTTCTCATTTAGAAGAGGAAGAATTCCATCCCGACATAAAACTAGGCAGTGCTGCTAAGCTTCGCACCAGCGCTAGAGTAGAAGAAAGGGCACATTTTTGGAGGGAAAATGCTCAAGGTACCATTCTAGAGAGGTTAAATAACAAACCTATTGAAAGTAAGTAGACCATAATGAGTTATACATAGCAATCATAAATAATTACAACCACGTGATCGTTGGGCTTAGGCAACCAGCATCGCACGATTGGCACTATCAACTAAAGATCCCTAAATCAGTAATAATAATTAGTCATAAAATGACCGCTGTTAACAGGAATTTTTTCAATAAATTGTTTCCTCAATCGAATGTTAAAAAAGTAGATACAGTCCTGCATCTCTTATCGTTAACGCATCGCTGATCAAATTATGATAAAAAATTATTATCGGTCTCGCTTATTATCCTGTATTACACCCAAATAATAAACAAAGGTATTAAATGCCAATAAAAAAACTGTTATCATTATACCAGTTCTGTAAGAGAATAACCGCTAGTCTTCCTCCATGCAACTTTACTAAATGCTGTCGTTTTTAGCGTTATCTAAATCCACAGACAGGACTGTAAAGCGATCGTAAAACTTTCATTGAACCAACTATTAAAGGAAATATGGACGCGACTTTTTGTTTCGGCAAGCTGAATTTATCACTATAGATGCTAAATATTATGTACAATAACATATTAGTTTCCACTGTCATAAAAATGGGGGGAAGATTGTTTACAGGGTGGTTAATTGTATAATTTTTACGTAACTTCACGTTTTTCGCTTATAACTTTTCCGTTCATTTCCACGAGAAAACAGTAAAGTACTTTTTTCGTCTTCAAAAAATATTGATTAGGTCAAAAGTTATAAACAGAAGAAGTTTATTTATGACTTTTGAATAAACTGCGTTATTATTATTACCGGAACGTTTTGGCATCGCATCCTCTTTCCTTATCACTGTCTAATAACTCACACGAAATCTGGAATCGGTAAGTTGAATAGTTTACAAGTTACGGCCTTATAAACAAATTAACTAATTATTAGTCTGGGCGATCCCGAGGATCTTCCACAATCGCACTGATTTATTTCATGGTAGATTTCATAATAATTCATTGAAATCAATCAGTTTTTTTTTAATTTCAAATTTGTAACCTGGAATTTTTTTTTATTTTTTAGCCTTAGTTGCAGAATGAAATATACGACGCACGAGCGTGATATAGTTATATATTATTACATAATCGGAAAGCTTATGAAAAGAGCTTTAAGTTAAAAAAAAATCGTCATGATTCGTTGAAAAACGACAGAAACAGACTGTCAAACATATTATTTTCAAGCGAATTTATTTAACGGCAGGACTATGAATATTTTCGTCATATTCTTCGGACTCGCTGTCGTTCACCTCCCCCACCCTTCCGCCGCGCCATGGTTCGCCGAAAATCAAGCGACCCACTGACTTTTGACAATATTTCTTATGCACTTAACATACTTCCACAAATAAAATATTTTTATCTGGCAAAGTACTCGGGTTGCCGGTTATGGCAGTATTTTTTTTGCCAGTACCAACCTAATTTGTTTAACAATAGGCCGTCAACTTTGACAGTCTGTAATTCCGTTGTTTTTCAACGAATCTTGACGATTTTTTTTTTAACTTAAAGCTCTTTTCATAAGCTTTCCGAATATATAACAATATATAACTACATCACGCTCATGCGTCGTATTTTGCAACTAAGGCTAAAAATTAAAAAAAAATCCAGGTTGCAAATTTGAAATTAAAAAAAAAATAGATTTCAATGTATCATTATGAAATCTTACTTACTTACTTACTTACTTTTTATTGACCACTTTATATACCAAAAAGTACAATTGAAGTCAGAATAATAATATTGTAATAATATTATACATACATACAAAGTATGTTATGTGGTTATGGCTTACATTAATTAAAACACATAAATTCATCGACACTATAAAAACAATGTTTCAACAGAAAAGATTTGACAGTATTAGGAAATTTTGTTAAGGACATGTTTGTTAGCGGGACATCCTTATGAATAGCGGAAAATAATTTAAGATTTATCTTATTCGAATGTGTCTACATATTCGAGAAAATGGAGCCGCCAAGTCACCTGCTGTCTGGTGCCATAATTATGTCAGAATGAGTTATGTAATTTTCTGTATTTTCATATATTTGTAGGAGTGTTTGAAGTATGAATAGACACGGAAGTGGAAATATGTTATATTTTTTAAACAGACACCTACAGGGTGTATTTGGCTGCGCTCCATCTATTATCCTGATGGCAGTCTTCTGGAGTGTAAACACTTTCTTTGCTTTTGTGCACTGCCCCCATAAGATAATGCTGTGATATGTGACTCTGAATAATAGAAAAATACACAGTACGCAGTACATGTCGAGGTAAATACAATCTCATTTGGCGTCAATTTTAATTTGTTAGCAGAGAACCATTCATTAGCATGAAATAAGTCATCGTTTCCTAGACAGTTTCCACCTCTACTTAATAGAGTGGTGTCATCAGCGTACAAAACACAAGTACTATTGACTATAGAGTATGGTAAATCATTAATATACAATAGGAAGAGAACAGGTCCTAATACTGACCCCTGCGGGACCCCATTTTCTATAGAAAGAATGGTGGATTTTTTATTATGTAGACAAACTAATTGTTTCCTATTAGTTAAATAGGATGTTAGAAGCTTAAGTTCGTTACCTCTATCCCATAATATTTCAATTTCTTTAATAGAATATTTTTTTGAACACAATCAAAAGCCTTTGTGAGGTCACACATAGTATAATATTACTACATGATCCCTCGTCAAGATCTTCAACAGCAATTTCTATTAGCTTCAAGAGAGCTTTAAGTGTAGATTTAATTTTTCGAAATCCAATCTGAGAATCTACCACGAAAAAAATCAGTGCGATTGTGGAAGATCCTCGGGATCATACAAACTAATAATTAGTTAATTTGTTTATAAGGCCATAATTGTAAACTATTCAACTTACCGATTCCAGATTTCGTTTGCGTTATTAGACAGTGATGAGAAGCGATGCCAAAACGCTCTGGAAATAATAACGCAATTTATAAATGTTTAATTCAAAAGTCATAAATAAACTTCTTCTGTTTATAACTTTTGATCTAATCAATATTTTTTGACGCTCGAGGACTAGTTTTGTAGGTTTTTTAAAGACGAAAAAAAAAATATGTTACTGTTTTCTCGTGAAAATGAACGGAAAAAAGTTATAAGCGAAAAACGTGAAGTTACGTAAAAATTATACAATTTACCACCCTGTAAACAATCTTCCCCCATTTTTATGACTGTGGAAACTAATATGTTATTGTACATAATATTTAGCATCTATAGTGATAAATTCAGCTTGCAGAAACAAAAAGTCGCGACCAACTCTACATTTCCTGACCTAATTACTCCAGTTCTGAAAGAGAATAACCGCTATTCTTTCTCCATGCAACTTTATTAAATACTGTCGTTTTTCGCGTTATCTAAATCCACAGACAGGACTGTGCAGGGATCGTAAAACTTTCATTGAACCAACTATTAAAGGGTGACTGTGCAATTACAAACATCTGCATTTATAAAATTACAAAATGAATTAAATGGCAGTGCTGTCAGTAAATTTATTCTACAAAATTTTTTAAGGTGTTGCTAAGAACGTTATATTGTTCCTCGGTGACGGTATGTCGATCCCAACACTGGCTGCCGCAAGGGTCTATTACGGAGGCGAGGAAATGGAACTATCCTTTGAAAAGTTACCGCATACGGCTCTATCCAAGGTAAAAACCACTCAATTTCCGTCTAACTTGAAGGAGAACGTTGCTAATAACCAAAGACCAATCTGACTTGGCATTACCAAATTTCAGACGTACTGTGTGGACGCACAAACAGCCGATTCGGCGTGCACGGCAACCGCCTACCTGACGGGAGTGAAGAATAACTACGGCATGATAGGGGTGACGGCGGCTGTCACGAAGAACGACTGCGAGGCTTCGCTATTGGAAGAGAACCAAGTCGAATCCATAGCTAAGTGGTCGCAAGATGTGGGGAAACGGACGGGAATAGTCACTACTTCCACAGTCACGGATGCGTCACCAGCAGGTAAATAACAATGAAAAACAGTTTAGAATACCTAAAGCTTTTGATAAATTATTTTTTTTAATGGAAATAATAAGCAAAAAAAACGTTATACAAATGGTGATGAAAAATGAAACCTCGTATTCTTTGGTGCATTTAAAGGGGAGTCTTTCCTATAAAGTTTTTATCTAGGACGCTTCGGTGAAAAGACACAGGGTGTTAAACGTCATAAAAATATTTTTAATTTTTTTTAAATAATTCAAAAACTAGTCAGTGAAATAATTCAAAATTGAGCAAATGTATTTATATAAACATTCTTCAAAATCTGAGGATTTTTCCTAAAATTTACATGCTCCAGTGGCGGAGGTACAGGGTATCGGTGGCATATTTTTTTAAATAAGATAGTACGCCACTGCTTTACGGTAACAACCATGATATTTTCGGATTCGTCTTTCAATTTTCTACAAATTACTACTCTTTTATGTTTTTCGAAAAAAGCCTTATTTTCGAGTTAAACTTAAAAAACAAACTGAGAACACACTTCGATATTCGAATATAGTGCTTTTTAAAATTACATAGTGGGCTGCGATAGCAACTTTGACATTCTGAGCAGTTAGAAGAACGAATAAATAATGCTTTTCATCACATTCAAGCAACAATTCGAACAAATTACGTTTTCGTTACTAAAAAGATGTCGGCACTGTGCTCGTAGAAATGAAGGTATTTTTGAGCATTTACTCAAAGAAAATCATTAAAATGATGACTAATGTTATCAATTTCTTAATTCGAATAAATAACCGAATAATTAGTGCTTGTATGTCATTAAGTAAAAGTGTTTTCAGTTGGTTTTTTAAGTTTTACTCGAAAATCAGGGTTCTTTCAAAAAACATAAGAGTGTAGTAATTTGTAGAAAATTGAAAGACGAATCAGAAAATATCCTGGTTGTTACCGTACAGCAGTGGCGTACTATTTTATTTAGAAAAATATGCCATCGATACCCTGTATGTCCGCCATTGGAGCATGTAAAATTTAGGAAAAGCCCTCAGATTTTAGACAATGTTTACATAAATACATGTGCCCAATTTCAAAATTTCAAATTATTTCACTTACTAGTTTTTAAATTATTTTAAAAAATTTTAAAAAAAGTAACTTTTAACACCCTGTATCTTTTTAACGAAGCGTCCTAGATAAAAACTTTATAGGAAAGACTCCCCTTAAAATTCACCAAAGAATACAAAGTTTCATTTTTGGTTACCATTCGTGAATCACCCTGTATAAACCTTGATTCAGAAACGCTGTGTTTTCGAAAATACATTTTTTTTATATTTCGGAGATGGGTAACGATAACTTTTATAATAAATTTTATTAAAATAATACCCATTACACAACCATGCTAGTAATTCTACATTTCTGTTTGCCAGTGCCGTAGATAGAAGGGGTCAGTTTCTAAAAGTGTAATTTCTACGCCTATCTTATTAAATATTTATACAAATTTTGCTAAAGCTGCGCCTGCACGAAAGAAAAAAAAATTGTAAAATATTTGTTATTTAGATTTGTGAGTAAATTGCAGCATAATAATGGAACTCATTATTTTTTCATAACAGAAACCAGTCTTTAAAAAAATTATTATTATTAACAACCAAAAATTAAAGAAAAACTAAACGTGTGTAAAAATAATAATAAACAAAATATAAAAAATGTATAAACATGATTTGACATTGTTACAAGAATCAATTTAAAAAAGTTGCAAATGAAATTAGAAATACCTACCTAGTAATTTTCAAATAAGAAAATATCTTTAAGGAGGTTTATCGGGTACGGAGGTACGCCTAAATTCTAACTAAAGTTTCTGTAGATTCGTTAGTGACTAAAGTAGTAAGCCTTTAGATTTGGCAACGTTGCACTTGGCTGGCGCGCTCGGCTCGGCGTTCGCTCGCTCGCGTTCGATCATTCTGTTTGCTTGGACACCTGCAAATTTCAAATAATACGCTACGTCGAGACCGCGGCGTAGCCGCTATCACGCATATGGAGGATAAGTTAGTCAACGACAACAGTTTGAAGGAGAATTATTATAAATTATGTATCTTATAAGCACCTAATCGATTTTTACAAGCTGTCATACGGTTGCTTGGATATCGGTTTCCTATTTATACAAGTTGCTGTGAAAACTGTTCGTCAATTGTTGCGCATTCTAAGTGGAAAGACCAAAAAAATCTGCATTTTCAGAAGACTGTACTAAATCGTGAAAAATTATTTTATTAATATCCCGTCTCTTAGGTATCCAAACTAGTTATAATTTTTTTTTGAGGATTTTCTTTATATTAATAAGCTAATATTAATTTTTTTACGAATATTTGGTAGTCAATTCCAAATCAGGTAAACCTCCTTAAGATAAAAAGAGTTCGATTATGTTTATAATTTGTTTTCAAAGTTTTCTGATATTTTTTTTCTATTATCGATTTGTGCCAATAACAATGTTATACATGCTTATATATTTGTGGTTTAATAAGTTTATTCGTTATTATTTTTGTATATCAATCTCGTCCGGCTTTAGTTTTTCTGTATCTTAACCTATTCATTAGAATACTTTTCAAAAAACGTAATCACTGTATTAAAAAAATTGATGTTCAAATCATGATTATCCAAATTATTCCAAAATCTAAACACAAAAATTTTCCAATGGAATTTCGTTTTATGTATACGTAAATATTTAACAAAAAAGTCACATACATAGAAGTTACGCTTCAGGAAAGAGAGTGGTGACCCTCCCTCTCCCCACCCCCTTTATCTACGGCACTGTCAACTGAAACGCAGAACTGAAATTTTTTCAACAAATTGCAAAATTAGTACGTTGGTCGAATCAAGATTTATGTAAAAAATGTCCTCTTAAAGTTGAAGACTCTTTGTTGTACTGAAAATATTGTGAGACAATTTTAGACCACACCGTACATTAAAATTTCAGGTGCCTACGCGAAGGCGGCCAATCGCGACTGGCAGACCGACGGCTCCGTCAGGAGCAGCGGCGCCGACGCCACCACGTGTCGAGACATCACCTACCAGCTGGTGAAATGGGCCCCGGGGAAAAATTTCAACGTTATCCTTGGTGGAGGTGCCAGGAAGTTCTTAAATAACGACACGATAGACAGATTCGGCACAAGCGGGCAAAGGTCAGACGATCTGAATCTCATAGAAGAGTGGGTGAATGACAGGACTGCCGAAGGTCTGCAGGCCGAGTACGTTTGGAACAGGTCTTCGTTGTTGAGCTTGGATGAAGACACGGACTACGTCTTAGGTAAATTCTTTGTCTGTAGCTCTAAAAGTAAATGAGATGCGGAGAAATTGAGGTCATTTTCAAGTTTCTCATACCAGCTTTTTACAATTAAGGGTCGGGAAAAGGATTTTTTACGATAAATCAACTCTTTCCCCAACTTTTAGGTGATTTGTTAGTCATCAAAAAAAAGTAAAGGGACAAAAAAGTTGTATTTTTATAGCATAATTAGAAAAACATATGACACCTAAGAAAAAGCAGTGACGTGTCCCCGGACACCGCTGGAATAGATAAACAAACTACCAAATTTCAAAAAAATCGGAATTAGAGTTCTCAAGATATTAGTAAAAACATTGTATTTTCTCTAAATTTCAACACCCTGTAACTTTGAAACGAAGCATTTCTGACATAGGTTTATACGAACTTTCTTTCTTATTTTTGGTCAAGGAAACTCCCCCTGAATTATTTCGCAATATTAATGAGACATCCTGTATATCTGAAATGACAAATGTTCTTTGAGTATGTCTTGCTATCAACAATTTTAACGATAATCACATAACTTTTATCTTCTATATTTTAATAGTCCTTCCTTCCCTTGCACAAGTTCCGTGAATGTCCATTATTAAAATAACTCGAAAAAAACTCATAATAATTAAAGACACTAATACGTCTTCATTTTTTAAATTCTTTGAATTCAATACAAAATAACTATTTCGAATCGTATAAAAATAAAAAAATATTTTGTTTCAAATTTTCAAACTCATAGTTGCCTTGTGTAAGCGGTTATGGATAATAGCAATGTACACTGTGGACAAAAAAAGGTTCATGCCTACAACATTTAAAGAACGAAACTAAAAAACTTTGTTCCACGAAGAACTATAAGTAAGCAATTTACATTGAGAACTTTTCATTGCCCACCACTGTACAATGTACAATACTGTTTTGAGACGTTTGGTATACAGGGTGGTGACAAGTTTTGCCAAACTTTAATGGCGTATTCAACCGATGAAAATAATCAAGATTTGTCCTATAAAAATTTTTAATGCGACGCTTCCCTACGGAGACACAGGGTGTTAAAAGTTTCAAATTTTATATTATTTTCCCTGTAACTTCACTGACATAAAAGATTGAGTGTTAAAATATGCGGGATGAAATTTTTTTAGTAGGGACTATTTTTTCATGGATAACTTATTCCAAAATACACTCCAGTGGCGTAGTTATTGGGGGATCTTATTTGTGGAAGGGCGAAATGGGCGGTGACTATTAGACGCCTTCATTATAGCCATCTTTCTCTATCGCACGGATTTCTATGACTTTCTTTATCGCTCTCATGTAACGGCCGATGAACCATGGGGACTTTCCGACCCTGTATATACATATAATACAATTACACATATGAGCGTAATTGCTGCTCAAGTAAGGCGTTTGATATCTATCTGGTAGATGGGCCTTCATCTACAGATACCAAAATTTTGTACGAACAGGTCAAGCTCTTGATCGACGTTTTGGTAGCGACAAACATGCAATTTCACGAGCTAGACGGTGAACGTTTGAAAAAGTATTCCTTGTTAGACAACGTCGATTTGGAAAAGACTGTCTATAAAGTTGTTCAGCTTGTCTAGCATTGCCATTCGCTCTACCGTATGTAAAATGTATATNAATACCTAAAGCTTTTGATAAATTATTTTTTTTAATGGAAATAATAAGCAAAAAAAACGTTATACAAATGGTGATGAAAAATGAAACCTCGTATTCTTTGGTGCATTTAAAGGGGAGTCTTTCCTATAAAGTTTTTATCTAGGACGCTTCGGTGAAAAGACACAGGGTGTTAAACGTCATAAAAATATTTTTAATTTTTTTTAAATAATTCAAAAACTAGTCAGTGAAATAATTCAAAATTGAGCAAATGTATTTATATAAACATTCTTCAAAATCTGAGGATTTTTCCTAAAATTTACATGCTCCAGTGGCGGAGGTACAGGGTATCGGTGGCATATTTTTTTAAATAAGATAGTACGCCACTGCTTTACGGTAACAACCATGATATTTTCGGATTCGTCTTTCAATTTTCTACAAATTACTACTCTTTTATGTTTTTCGAAAAAAGCCTTATTTTCGAGTTAAACTTAAAAAACAAACTGAGAACACACTTCGATATTCGAATATAGTGCTTTTTAAAATTACATAGTGGGCTGCGATAGCAACTTTGACATTCTGAGCAGTTAGAAGAACGAATAAATAATGCTTTTCATCACATTCAAGCAACAATTCGAACAAATTACGTTTTCGTTACTAAAAAGATGTCGGCACTGTGCTCGTAGAAATGAAGGTATTTTTGAGCATTTACTCAAAGAAAATCATTAAAATGATGACTAATGTTATCAATTTCTTAATTCGAATAAATAACCGAATAATTAGTGCTTGTATGTCATTAAGTAAAAGTGTTTTCAGTTGGTTTTTTAAGTTTTACTCGAAAATCAGGGTTCTTTCAAAAAACATAAGAGTGTAGTAATTTGTAGAAAATTGAAAGACGAATCAGAAAATATCCTGGTTGTTACCGTACAGCAGTGGCGTACTATTTTATTTAGAAAAATATGCCATCGATACCCTGTATGTCCGCCATTGGAGCATGTAAAATTTAGGAAAAGCCCTCAGATTTTAGACAATGTTTACATAAATACATGTGCCCAATTTCAAAATTTCAAATTATTTCACTTACTAGTTTTTAAATTATTTTAAAAAATTTTAAAAAAAGTAACTTTTAACACCCTGTATCTTTTTAACGAAGCGTCCTAGATAAAAACTTTATAGGAAAGACTCCCCTTAAAATTCACCAAAGAATACAAAGTTTCATTTTTGGTTACCATTCGTGAATCACCCTGTATAAACCTTGATTCAGAAACGCTGTGTTTTCGAAAATACATTTTTTTTATATTTCGGAGATGGGTAACGATAACTTTTATAATAAATTTTATTAAAATAATACCCATTACACAACCATGCTAGTAATTCTACATTTCTGTTTGCCAGTGCCGTAGATAGAAGGGGTCAGTTTCTAAAAGTGTAATTTCTACGCCTATCTTATTAAATATTTATACAAATTTTGCTAAAGCTGCGCCTGTACGAAAGAAAAAAAAATTGTAAAATATTTGTTATTTAGATTTGTGAGTAAATTGCAGCATAATAATGGAACTCATTATTTTTTCATAACAGAAACCAGTCTTTAAAAAAATTATTATTATTAACAACCAAAAATTAAAGAAAAACTAAACGTGTGTAAAAATAATAATAAACAAAATATAAAAAATGTATAAACATGATTTGACATTGTTACAAGAATCAATTTAAAAAAGTTGCAAATGAAATTAGAAATACCTACCTAGCAATTTTCAAATAAGAAAATATCTTTAAGGAGGTTTATCGGGTACGGAGGTACGCCTAAATTCTAACTAAAGTTTCTGTAGATTCGTTAGTGACTAAAGTAGTAAGCCTTTAGATTTGGCAACGTTGCACTTGGCTGGCGCGCTCGGCTCGGCGTTCGCTCGCTCGCGTTCGATCATTCTGTTTGCTTGGACACCTGCAAATTTCAAATAATACGCTACGTCGAGACCGCGGCGTAGCCGCTATCACGCATATGGAGGATAAGTTAGTCAACGACAACAGTTTGAAGGAGAATTATTATAAATTATGTATCTTACAAGTACCTAATCGATTTCTACGAGCCGTCATAC